ATTGTTCACCACGAGCTCAGGATTGGCAGGGAAGGGAGACAACATGTAGGCAACGACCTGGAGAGCGCTTGGCCGGGAGCGAATGCAATTGTTGATTGATTGCGGCACTGTACGGTACTTACTCTAGTATGATACTCTCTCTCTACGAGTAATTTACGTTGCTTCGTTCCCTCGGTTTTTTTTTTTTTACTCTGACGGGAGGCTCATGATTAGTCATACAGCAAGGAGAACTATGATAATCGCTCAGCAGGGCCAGCGGGCAGGCAAAGCATGTTAGAGTTACAAGTACAGTATCATACCGGTACGAGTACTCGTACAGCACTCGTACCTGTATGATAATTATGATATGATGGTACTTGTATTATAATATTATGATAGCTGTATGATATTATGATCCTGCGCCAGTCAGAGTAAGTAACACCAGCACGGTTAGCCACCTACTTTGTATCGTAACCCTAGGGCACGCACTCGGCCGAGCTTTAGGCAAAAAAAAAAAAAAGATAATTATGATACCGTGTGGTAATACCGGTTTTTTTTTTTTTTTTTTTTTGTTTTTCTTTCCCTCCGCTCGTTTTTCCTTTGTTCTTTCGAACATTCCGTCGCCTATGTACGATGCGATAACCGCACCGTTCTACATATCATACACCCACGCACACAAAGTTTCCTGCTGGTGGGGGGGGGTTATGTAACTCGAGTTTGGCTTATTCTACCGTATCCTTACTCGAGTACTGAGTAGTAAGTACTGGCTCTGAGTACCGCAGTGGGGAGAGAGATGTGAGATCATGGAGCGCGCACGCGCGGGAACTCCACGGCGTCTGCAGCTTACAAGTTACAAAGGTCAGAGGGCCGTGACCTGATTGGTTTGGTTTTGGCTTTTCTCTCTTCTTCTTCCTCTTGTTCTTCTTCTTCTTTGGTGGGGGGATGAAGGGAGGAGGAGTTACTTGCTTTGATTTTCTTGCCGACACAAAGAACGAAGGAAGGAACAATCCATTTTCTCTCTTCTTTCCCCCAGTCTTGTGATGTGATCCGAGGGTGCCGTACGGGCGCATACATCCTTTCCATCTGCAGCTTCATTAATCGGTGTCGGTGGGTGGGAGCTGCGTCATTGAACATCCTTCTCGAATGCCGACTGATGCTTCTCTTGCTTGTGCGAGTACTCGAGTAAGCGGTAAGATGCGTTGATGAGTGGTGGTGGTGATGGTGGTGGTGGTGGTGTGGACTTGGAATCGAGCTTGGGGATTTTTCTTTCTTTCTTACATTCTAGAAGGCTGTGGTGGTGGTGGGGAAAGTCATGTACGGTAATGTGCTGTGGAGTAATAAGTTCTTCGCTTTGTCATTATTTTCTTTTTTTGGCATCTCTCGATGGACCAGTGATAATGAGATTGATGATGGTCGGCGGTGGGAGCGGTGGGGAAATTAAGGGGGAGAGGGGGCGTTCCGTTAAATGGGGGTAAAATTCGGGTCCCCCCAAGGGATGCCTTGATCGGGGTACCCATGGGGGGGGGGCAGGTGTGAAAAATCGGGGGTAATAGAGGACGGGAGGACGGGACGGCCATTTGCCCTTTGGGGGGTTTTGTTTCCGGTAGCGACGAGACTGGATGAAAAAGGGGGGGGGGGGGGCGTAGGGTAGTAGCAGCATTGGACAAAGACAGGCACAAAGACCGGAGCGCGCGAAAGCGAGCTTGTGGTGGAGGTGGATGTGGAGGTGGAGGTGGAGGAGGGTCAGAGAGCAGAAACATGCGGTTAGGGTACTTGTAAGGTGTCGGTAGGGTCTATGGAAGTCGTAGGGAAGCTGAGAAGGAGAAGTGACCAGGAGTGAGAACAAAGCAGAGTGGACGAACTGGGTTTAGCCTTGTGCGTGAACTCTGCTCTACCTGTACAGGTACTTTTTTATTTTTTATTTTTTTTATACAGCTTGGGTCGTGGTGGTCGTCGTACGGGGGAGAGGGGGGGGGACTGCCGGTGCCGGGGATGAGAGGGATGGATAGGATGGGATGGGATGATATGGAGGGAGGAGGGGGGTTTGCAAAAGAAAGAATCGGAAAGAGCTCAGAGCGCATTTGCCCGGTTGAAATTGGATCTGACGCAGCTAGCCTTCTCGCCGCCGCCGCAGCGAGGGATTGAAGGGAGGAGGAGAGAAAAGTGCTGTGCCATGTTTTAAAGCATCCATAGACGAATCTAAAACATTGTGTGGTAGAGGCAAAGCAACAACCAACTATCGGCGGTATATCCTACTGTATGCTACTATTTACAGTACAGTATCCGCCGATAGATAATTAAGGAAAGCGCCCAATATTAACATCGCTATGATACTGCCGTAGTATCATCATAATATTACTCGTATATTCGTTCGAGCAAGGTAAATAATGAAAAGAAAGAAAGTAAGAAAGAAAGAAAGAGAAAAAAAAAAACCAACCACCAACGTATGATACCCTATTGTTAACCTGGAAAGCAAACAAATGAACGCGAATCCCAACGACATACTCCCTCACTCTCTCTACCTTGTCATTTTGACGCTTTTCACAACCTTTTCAGCCTTTTCAGCAGGCAGCGCTACGCTGCTCTCTGCCTGTTTTTGTGTGATTTGCTCCCCCGGCAGCTTGAATGACGATTAGCAGCTTGGGGCTCCATCCATACACCTCGTCCTTGTCTCACGAGTAGTTGAGTCCCCGTTTGATTTTATTTATACCCCCCCCCTTCCACCCCCTAACTCAGGACCGCCGGTTCCTTCCCATCTTCCCCCCTACCTCCAAATTGAATACCCACCCGCCCCA